CTCGCCGACACATCGCGCACGTGGTCCTCATCCACTCCAAACGCCTCGGCCGTCGCGTTCGAAAACGCTCGCAGCAGATCCGCCTCCCTCATCGCCAGCACGTAGTCCCAGTCCTCGCCCTCAAACTCCACGCGGCTCCTCGTCCATACTTCATCCGCGTCGGCCCTGAAGCCGCGGGGCGCTGCTGCGTCGACGCCTTCAAAGGAGCGTATGCGTGGCCTGTACAGTGCATGCACCTCGTCGTACGGGTGCGCCTCGGTCCGTTCCGTGATCTCTGCGTCGCTCATGGCGCATCCAAGCACCTTGAATACCATAAGAAGACTGCCAACCCTGCAGTCCAGAAGCACAACCTGGCTCGGCGACACGCCCAGTGCGGCGGCCGTCTCCCTGCTGAACGCGTCCTCAAGCTTCCTGCGGTTGTTGTCAACCACGAGGTCCCAGTCGTCGCCCTCAAACCGCCTCATCAGCACTGACGACTCCAATGGCCGCGTCTCGTACAGCGCCCACAAATTCTTGTACTCGCAGCGCGCCAGCGTCTCTTCCACCTGGCGGTCGCTCAGCAGTGATGGATGACGGACCGTGACAAACGCAATGAGGCTCCGAGGCACTGCGTCGACCTCCACCTCCAGCACGTCCTCACGCCCGAGCCCCAACGCCCGCGCCGTCTCGACGGCCAGCACGTCCTTCACCTCCGTGCGCCGCCGCTCCAGCACGTAGTCCCAGTCCTCGCCCTCAAAGCCAAGCTCGTGCGTCGTAACAACCTTCTTTTCCTCCTCCAGGGGCCGCGGCTCATACAGCGCCCACACGGCCGCATACGCACACTCCTTCAACCGCGCATTTACATCAGCCTCCGTCAGCGCCGCAGGGCGCCTCAGCTCGAAGTCAAAGTGCAAGTTACCAGCAACGTACCTCGCCGACACATCGCGCACGTGGTCCTCATCCACTCCAAACGCCTCGGCCGTCGCGTTCGAAAACGCACGCAGCAGATCCGCCTCCCTCATCGCCAGCACGTAGTCCCAGTCCTCGCCCTCAAACTCCACGCGGCTCCTCGTCCATACTTCATCCGCGTCGGCCCTGAAGCCGCGGGGCGCTGCTGCGTCGACGCCTTCAAAGGAGCGTATGCGTGGCCTGTACAGTGCATGCACCTCGTCGTACGGGTGCGCCTCGGTCCGTTCCGTGATCTCTGCGTCGCTCATGGCGCATCCAAGCACCTTGAATACCATAAGAAGACTGCCAACCCTGCAGTCCAGAAGCACAACCTGGCTCGGCGACACGCCCAGTGCGGCGGCCGTCTCCCTGCTGAACGCGTCCTCAAGCTTCCTGCGGTTGTTGTCAACCACGAGGTCCCAGTCGTCGCCCTCAAACCGCCTCATCAGCACTGACGACTCCAATGGCCGCGTCTCGTACAGCGCCCACAAATTCTTGTACTCGCAGCGCGCCAGCGTCTCTTCCACCTGGCGGTCGCTCAGCAGTGATGGATGACGGACCGTGACAAACGCAATGAGGCTCCGAGGCACTGCGTCGACCTCCACCTCCAGCACGTCCTCACGCCCGAGCCCCAACGCCCGCGCCGTCTCGACGGCCAGCACGTCCTTCACCTCCGTGCGCCGCCGCTCCAGCACGTAGTCCCAGTCCTCGCCTTCTAATTCTATACGTTTTGTTGAGTATATTTTGTCTTCGGTGCTTGTGGTTGGTTTCAGTCGGCTGTATAATTGACATATTTCTGGATATTTGTAGTTGCTTATTGCCTTTTTCGCCTTTTTTGCTTGATTGTTTTTTATGTACAGTAAGTATTTTATGACAAGTGCTTCTGCAGTTGCTGTTATATTTTGTATTTCGGTGTCCTCCATGGTTTTGCCAAGAGCCGTCGCCGTGTCATTTTTAAAGGCATATTCTATATCGTTCTTGTGATCAGTGAGGATGCATTGCCAATCTTTGCCGTCAAACCGTTTTTCAAGTTTAGTGAAACCGTCCAACTCATTGCGGTATAGTGCGCTTAACTTTGGATACAAATAAGCGTTCATGGCGTCCATGAGGTCCCCTCTTGACCGTGAGCCGTCGTGCCGTACTTCACTGCTCACCATCAAGAGGTTATTTGATTCGCCACATGTCATTTGCGTTATAGAAATATCACTTCGCGGTAACTGCAATACCTCAGCCGTCTCATCGCAGAACGTGTCCATGATGGCAAGACGTTTTCTATCCAGTATGTATTTCCAGTCTTCGCCCTCGAACGTGCGCTCAAGCCAATCCACGGACATTTTGGATTGTGGTACATAAGTCTCATCGACTGGGTGGAACAGGCCCTCTTCTATTTCCTCTTCCTCTTGTTTCTTATGTTTTTGTTGTTGTTGTTGCTCGCTTTCCTTCTCATAAAACGTTTCCTCCACACTCTGACTTTGTTGAAGTGCGTCATCAAGCATTCGGATTTGTGGTTCATCGAGCGTGTAATTGTTCTTTTCCCATGCATCCTGTGGGACGGTGCCAAAATTCACAAGGACGCTTTTACGCAACACCATGATGCGGTATTCTGTTGGTTTCCACGTGTAAAAGGCGGCACGTAAATACTCCTTCCCTGCAGCACCAGCGAAACTGGTTTCGTAGCGTTGTTGTGCTAATTCACGAAGCCGAGTTTCCGCCAATTGTCCTCCCCGGAGTGATGCGCTCTCTCGCTGCAGCGCTCGGTAGGCATGCAACTGGTCGTCCGCACTGTCCATGAGAGCCTGATATTCCGCCATACGCTGTTGCTGTTTATGAATTTCATTTATGACAGATCGAAGCTCCTTCTGTGATTCCTGTTTTCGCTTCTCTAACTGGTATTGTTTTCCTGTGGCCTCACTCCTGTCAAGTTGAGCCAGTACCCAGTAGTAAATGGGGCCCATTGCCTGACTGCCTTGAACGGCACGGTCGTAACGAAAACTTTTCTTCCGCACACACTCGTATAGTATGTAATCGCCACGCTCTCTTGAGAGTTCTTTGTCAGGATCATAGTCAAGAATCCTCAACTTGAAGTGCGGATCCCGCAAGACACGCTGCATTTGAGGCCACGTTTTGGCATCATCCTCGGAGAGAAGCAGCATGACGGCACGGAGAATTGTCAGTACCATCCTTGAAGGAGCCCGGTACGACTTCAGCTCATGCCAGTGATGGTACGAGATGCCCTTCACATCAATGTAAGCCGCTTTTACTGCCGCACGCGATTGAGAAGCATGATTTTCAACATCGTCAATTTCCCGTAGAATACTTCTCCGACGCTGGCGCAGTTTCTCAGTAAGTTGTGTCACATGCTGGATGCTCCCTTCCAGTTCCTCTTTTGTTTTTTTGATGTGCATTATCAGCTCACCCTCCTCCTGCGACTCACCCACGTTAAATTGCTCCTGCCAGTCCACATCCATCTGCTTCTCCCAAAGCCGAATCTCCACATCGTACAGGTATGGTGCCGACTCCACGCTACCGAGTGTCCAGTGAGCCGTTTGCTCCTCCACACGTCGTGTCATGACGACCACCATTTCCCCCACACGCAGGGCCCCCGGCCCACCCTTCACCTCCGTCACATGCTCCAAAGACATGATAAATCAACGGCACGGAAAGACCGATGCGCCGTGAAAATGCACTTCTCTCTTCCCCTTTTCTGTTTTTATTGCTCTTTCCCAACGGTCTTCCCTCTTAAGGATCGTCCTGGATGTGTTCTCTTCCCCTATAACAATCGTTGTTTCTCCGCTTTTGATTGATTTTCCCTTTTTTTCTTTTCCCGTCGTTATTTTTCTTTTTTTTCTTTTTTCGGAAAGAAAAATGATCTCAGCAGTCGTTGTGCCACTGTTTTACGCACTGCCACCACCGCAGAGGCACACACACACACACACACACACACACAGAGAGAGAGAGAGAAAGAGAGAAGAACTGACTGACTGGCTGAATAAATGAATAGAGACGGTGTCTTTTCCTCTCTTTCTTTCTCTCCGTCTCTTCCCCGTTGTTTTTTCTGCCTCTTTCCTCGTCTCTTCTTCTTCTTCTTCTCTGGGTTTTCTTCTCAACTGCGCAAAGGCACACAATTTTGTTGTTTTTGTTTTTTATTGTGTTTTGACAATTTTTCTTTTTTTTTTTTTTTTTCTTCTTTTTCCCCCTCCCTCCTCCCCTCCCGTCTAATTCCTTTTATTCTTTTCTGCTGCTCCTGTTGTTAGGCGAAGTTTCTCAAACAAGGCGGCGTGATGCCTGCGGGTACGTGTACTTGTGTATGTATGTTTCCCCTCTCAATATTGAACGGAATTTAATAATAATAACAACAATGACAAGAGGAAGAAGAAAACAAAATAAAATAAATTTCCCCCCCTCCCCGCCCTGCCCTGCCCTGCCCTGCCCTGCCTCCCCCCTGCGTCAATGTATTCACACAATTGAAGGCCGTGTACCGCAGGGGAATTAAGTCGGTAAAACAATGTAAAGATAATATATATATGTATATATATGTATTGTATGTATTGTATGCAAGATAATTCAATTCGCCTCAAACGGTAATATATATATATATATTACTATATATATATATATGCACACAGAGACACACACAGAGACACACACAGAGACACAACGTACGGAGTCAATATTTATTTGCCAGCAAAACACCACCGCCACCCGCTTTCCTTCCGCCACTTATTTCCCACGCGTAAAAGGGAAAATAACACGTATTTTTATATAAATGTCCGCAGAGGCCCCAACGGCGGCAAGCAGAGACACACAAACACACACAATAAATGATAATAACAAGAAAAAAAAAAAAAAAAACAATGGGAACAAGCAACGGAAACAAAACACAGCGGTATCAAATGTAAGAAGAAAAACTACAATAAAAAAGAAAAAAGAAAAAGAGTTGATAACTCCCTAAACCTCCTAAAAAAAAAAAAAAAAAAAAAAAAAGGAAAAAAGAATTAGAAGGAAACATGTATGTTTTCTTCATGAGCGCCACATATACACAGAGAGAGGAAAAGACACAGTGAAAATGGTCACAGAAAAGATTTTTAAAAAAAATAAAAAATAAACGTCCAAAGTGTATGCATAAATATATCTTTTCCCCCAAAAAAGTTCCCACCTCCACTCTCCGCAGTGTGTCGTCGCTTCTCTCATTCAATTTATTTTCTCCCTCACAACTTTCGTGCATGTATATAAATATACATGTATGCATGTATGCATGCGCACACCCATGCCTCTACTGTTGCTGCTGCAATGCATGTGCCCTACCCTGCCACCATCATCTCACGACGGGCTTCCTCCAACTGCGCGGTGTCGAGGGTGAAAAAGACAAGAGGTTTCAGACGCATGCGGTGCACCGCGTTGCCGGCACCTCCTCCCCCCACGGCAAGCGGCAAGAAACCCTCGCCGGCTGGTCGCAAAGGGGATGATGGACCCACTGTGGATAGTGGGGCGCGTCGCGGGATGCCAACATCCCCGCTGTCAAAGACCAACGCATCGTCCATGAACACACGGATCTGCCGCACCCACGCTGCGCACTCTTCTTCCTGAAGCAGCGGGCGGTTCAGCGTCAAAAGCGAGAGACAGAAAGGGGAATCGGAGACATACACCAAAGACAAAGAAGCCTGAAACAATGAGACGCGAATACCCGCTTGAGCAGCAACCACAGCAGCCTCCTCATCTTCTTGCAGAGCGTTGGGGCGTGGCGTAAACAGACACTCCGTCACAAAGGCGTGGGTGTTCTCGCTCATTGAAACGCCACCAGCAATATCCCCTCCATGCCCCTCCGTGTCTTTTGCCCCATCACGACTACACACTTGAATGGTCTCCCCATTCTCATCCGCAAATGTGCAGGCGCGTAATGGATTCACCATCCATTTCTTCGCGTACTTCCTCAGATCCATCGCACTCCTCGCGCAGATACCAAAAGATACCTTTAACACATACGCAACTGGAAGAAGTGGGGTGAGGTAAGACTGATACTCCAGAAACCATTCCGGCCGTGGCTTCAATGCCATACGAGCACGCCGCAGTGCCATCTCTGCCCGTATGGTCATGGAGGCACTTAAACTATGCGTTAATGAATTGCGCAAGGCACCACTACCGCCTTCGAAAGCACGCAATTCCGCGGCTAACGACAAGTCATACACCTGAAATCGTGGAATAGAGAGAAATGCTGGGGCCTTGCGTAGACTGACGCCCTCCTCCGGCGTAGCCTCAAAGATACCATGCAAATTCAATGTCGTACAGCTAGTGGCAGTATTTATTTCCCATAATGCCGAATAGGCTGCGACAAGGGCGTCGGGGGACCAATTGGGCGTGGCGGAAGAAAGAAACAAACGTGCCTCCTTCACCCCACTGAAGGTGTGCTCACCAAGGGAGTAATTTGCCACCTCCACGAACCCCAATGTAGGCAGGGGGGTGTCAAAAATAAATATAACCTCAATGCCTTGTTCACACGGAAGTGTGAAGGCGGTCTCAGCATTCTCATCAAAGAGGTACACAAGCTGATCTTCCCATTTTTCCCCCACATCACTCTCATGTCTCTGAGATGGAAACCGAACGTACCAGTGAGCAATACGTTGACTCACCATGTCACCTTGTGCGTCCCGAAAACGAAGTCCACTCAGACCGATTTTCTCTGTATCACCCCAAGTACCAAGCAAAAGAAAGCAAAGTGAGGTCACATTTTGGGGGTATCTAGAAGACATGCTCAGAGAACCAAATGTTTGGTGTTCAATTCCTGTAACCGGAGTAGCGGTAGCTTTTTCAAAATTCCCCAGACTATTGTGGACAATAATATGCTTTCCTTTCGCATGGACTGGAACAGCAGCAGGGATCAACACACTTCTTTCGCTTCCCATGCGCTTTGACTTATCTTCGTTGACAGTACCAAATAAAACTGTCGAAATGGTCGTTGAATGACCAATAATCTCGCGTGGTAAAACCCCAATGGTCGTCCTTCGCTCCTTCCCCCAGGGTCTACCTTGAACGAATGTCTCCGTTGCAGGACCTGCCAGTAGTCGTCGGAGTACCCTTGGTTCCTCCGTAAAAAGAATGTTTTCACAGTTTTCCAAACCAACTCGATGAAAGGGCACCACATCACCATTATTGGGGGCAATTTCTCCGCGAAACACAAGTTCGTCATCAACCGTCATTTCAAGAAGACGAACCCCTTTACTCGTGTGCACCCGCCCACGGCCCCCATAATTGTGTACCCGCACCATAGATATGACAACACTCTTGGGAAAGGCAAAGCAAATCAAATGGTGCTTGTCGGGATTAAACGGCATCGTAAAGAGTTTCGTGTCATCGTGCGTGTTGTGAATCCCATTCACCAGATTGGCCAAATCAGATCGAGGGACTTCATCCGTCCCAGCAGAAGCATCAGCGGAATCACTACTGCTGCCTTCGACGGGATACGCCACCATCACAGAAAGGCTGCTCTGAGGGGTGGTGTACAAAATTGTGTGGTGTCCGTCCACGATCTTACTTTCTTCCTGTGGTACTTTGCCATCCGTTGATCCCGGTGGTGATTGAAGTGAACTCGATGACTTTTTTAGGCACTCCGCAGGGGGAATGATGCGGTCACCGTTCTCATTGAAGAATTCCATACCATTTATCCCCACCTCCTCTGGAGCACCCCATGTGGAGAGAAGGTTCATGACGATGAATCGCCCACGCGGCATTTCCTCCGCCAGGTATGACGCCAGGCCCCCGCTTTCAACTCTCGTCCCACTACAAACATCAAATTGGCCGCGCGGTGTCTCCGGCGGCGCCAAAATGGTGGTGATTGCAGGTGCAACAGAGCTATTCCCCTTTCTTGGGGAATCGGAAGAAAAGGGGATCGTCTCACTCGTGTGGAAATTCGGGTTGCCCGTATCACGTTGAATACATTTCATCGCATATTGGCCAGGTGACTTTGACCAGTCGCTCATGCACTCAACGTTACCCAAATTTACAATCTCCATGGGAGGAGGAAGTGCGTGGCAATGTGTAAAAGAGTCACCACTTGACAGCCGTCCCGTGGCACTATCAGTGTGCACATCTAATACTCGACGCCCGGTACTTCCATGACTAGCGGCATTCTGATCCGTGCAAACTCGAGTGTCACTGACATGGTCGGTGTTTCCAGGCCATACTTGTTGCGAATCGCCCCATGTTGGAAGCCTGGACATCTATGGTTTGTGCCTCTCCTGCCTTCACGTTATTCCTTGTGATTCTTCTTGTTGTTGTCTTATCTTTATTTATTATCTTCTCTTTATTTCTGTTCCTTCCTTTCCCCGCCTGGGAGAGGGGAGTGAAATTCTTTATGTTTGGTTAAATCTATGTGTAGTACTGCAAAGGGACAAATAATTTATTTTTATTATTTTTTATTTAAAGATGAGTGAATGAATGACGAACGACGCCACCCCTCTCCCACCCACCCACCCACCCTTCCCGCCCCCTTTTCCTGCTGTTCCTCGCCTGACTCGTGTTAAAGAGAAGGAAAAGAAAAAGAAGAGGAGGAGGAAGAGGAGAGGGGTGAAGAAAAAAAAAATAATATCGACAGAAAATTTGTGGCAAAACAACTCCAAACAGCCCCAGTGAAATGTAAGGCAACAGC